TAGAAAAAATCACTATCCTAAGATGCTTCTTAATAAACTGCTCTTCCAAGATATTCCAACAGCAAGAACACACCAAAGACAAACATTAGAAGGAGAAACAGTAGAACTTTTCTATGGGAGATTGCCTTACATCAGGGGTTTATCACCACAGATCACAAACTTTTTCAGACAGTTCAACATGGTGATAGCAAATTCAGTGTACAAAAGATTAGCGACATACTTTACCCACCTGACAGAAAGAGTTAAAAAAATGGATAACTTCAATGTAGTGTATTCTATTCCATGTGGTTCTTGTTCGGAAGTGTATGTCGGTCAAACCAGCCAGAAACTCTCAAAAAGAATAGCTTTGCACAAGAGTGATGTTGTGAGGAAGCTTACTAGTACAGCTTTTAGCCAACATATTAAGAATACTGGACACATTGCTAACTATGAAAATGTGCAAGTGCTAAAAAGGGTTGACAAACAATTTAAGAAAAATTTCATAGAAATGTGCTACATCCATAACTGTAGCTCTTCTATGAACTGTAAGAAAGATGTTGAAAATTCAAGTTGTATTTATTCTTTTTTGCTTCAGCAAGACTTGACAAGATGTTGAGAAGAACAGATTGGAGAATGTAGGGAACTTATCATAACATACACAGATGACCTACCTGCACTTGAGAAAAGACTTCATTTCCATGCTGATTTTGGTTCTTAAAAAGATTCCTTCTAACATCCAATAGGTGCAGATGTAAATATAACCTTGTTACATATGACATCGGGATATTGACAGAAATCAGAAACATCATCATCAAAAAAGAAGAATAATTCTTCTTTTCTACCTTCAACATGAAGTTGTTTTTGTGGGTTTTTAGATTTTAGATTTTTTTGTTGTGTTGTATTTGAAAAAATACCCTTTTGTGTTGTAATGTTTTTATTTAAAATTTTAAATGTAATTTTTAATATTTTTAACATGTTTGTGACAGTGTTCTTCACCACGAGGACCAACTGAACATTTTCAATGTAGGTTTTTAAATGTTGATTTCCACTACTTGTACTAAATAGGTTTTTCATTTAGGTGCTGATGAAGGTGACAGCCTATCACCGAAAATTTCACATTTAGGATAAAGTTCTACACCAAACTGGCTTATACCATCTCTAGCCGATCCTTGATTTGACACTTTCCCGAAAGTTACCTACCAAAAAATTATATATATATATATATATATATATATATTATATATATATATATATATATATATATATATATATATATATATATGTATATATATATATATATATATATATATATATATATAAATTTATATAAATTTATTTTTAATTTGGACAATTATAATTGTCCAAATGTTATTATTGTAGCAATAATAATTACTAATGAAATGGGCAAGGATTACAAACATCTCTAATTTTATTAATTTTATAAATCAACACTATTAATTTTATAACACATGTTACGGGCGGTTTTTAGATACTAGAACTATTTTAAACTAGATAATTTATTTTCGTCATAAGTCAAGATCAACAAAATTATGTCATATAATGTTTATCTATGCTGTAATTCTAATATTTACAATGTTTTTATGGGATTATTTGATTTCCTTGTCTACGTTTTTATATTGTGAAATATATTTCTTTATATATTATAATATATTCTGTATAATATAATTTAGAAAAAAGTATAGACGAATAGTACATGAAAACTAACTTCTTCTTCGCGTGCCATATCAGAATTATCCGATGTTGGCGATCACCATTGTGAAGGCTTCTCCATCTTCTGCAATATGGAATAATTGTCCTGCATTTGGTATCTGAGTCCATTGACGAATGTTTTTTAACCAAGAAACTTGTTGTCTTCCTACACCTCTACGGCCCTCTATTTTGCCTTTAAGGATCAGTTGTAACATTTTATATCGACTTCCCCTTACTATATGTCCCAGATAACACATTTTTCGATGCTTAACAGTCTTCAGCAGTTCTCTATCTTTGTTAACGCTCCTTAGTAATTCTTCATTTGTTTTCCTTGTTGTCCAAGGTATCTTCAGCATTCGTCTATGAACCCACATTTCCAATGCTTCAATTTTCTTCATGATCGATACTTTTAGCGTCCACATTTCTGTACTATACAAAAGTACGGACCAAACATAGCACTTAACCATTCTTTGTTCACTATTAATATATTATCTGTCCATATTTATTGTTCTTAGACAGAATCGCTAAAAAGATGTTCCTTGTGGTAATGCAGTGATGTGTGGTAATGATATAGCATTCAGAAATCTACATAAAACACATAAACATGGTGGGCCTACAAAATGAACAATACAGCTATTCTGTTAGACATAATAGAAATCTAACTTCTAAATAGAGAATGAACATAAATATACGGAAATATGATAATAAAGATCTCTTCCAGCTTTTCTTCTAACTAAATCAAGAAGAAATATGTTTCTTCTTCTCCTTTTCTTAGCCTACAAACCTTTGTTAATAGTTTTGGTCTGATTAAAAATATTTTTCAATTCTGCTCTATTAGCTATTTTCCTGTGCTATTGTCTCACCTTCTTGCTAGGGGCTTTATTTTTCTTTTAATGCTATCAAATAATCATATAAATGAATAAAGAAGAAATGGATAGCTAAATTACAAAAAAACGTTGTTTGGAAAATTATTTAAAATTTAAACAAAACTGTCCGAATTTGAGGCAGCTTAGTAATGATGAAGGCTGATTTAGTCTGAAAACATATTTGCAATCTGAATATGTAGAAGCACTGGATTGTGTTGTTTCACCGTGACATGGGGTTTTCCAGAAATACTGTCACAGGGACCAAGAAGGCAGCAACGCTAAAAGTAAAATCGTATTGGACTGTGCAAGTTGCAAGACAGTTGACAGAAACACCAACTATCTTGAAGTATCTTTGCAATGCCTATCCGATCCAAATAAGGTAACTCAGAACTACAGGCGAACAGTGTATTGACTCTGGAAAGGTCATCACACTACGGAACTTTCTGAAACTTTGAACTACTCGAGAAGGAACTGATGCGACTCACGTTACGTATAATAGAATTACTCCTGACTGGAAGTCGGTGGTAGAAGTTGCAAAACTTCTCTAATGGACATTAAAAAATATATGATGTGAAAAGATGCCCTAATAAAATGTATAGATGAACCTTATAGGCGGTTGACACGTGCTGAAAAAGAATCTTTTGGTATCACAAGAGTTGTTTACTACCACCAAACACTTTCCAAAAAGACTCAAAAGGCTAGAGCTCTGGGTAATTCTGGGCTCCATACTGACCGACGATGGAGTACTACATGTTAGTCTCCGGCAGACAATGAGTCCGAGGTAGAATTAAACAGGCACTACTGGAAGGTCAAGTATCAACGCCATCGTGCTAATTTTATGTAGTTAGAATGAAAAAAATCTACGCAAGTTAGGGAAAGTAATGAACAAAGCCGACGACAATCGCTTTCATCCATGACACCAAATGGAAACATTTGCAAGCAGAACAAATTTAAGTGCAATAGGTTGAGTATCCAAAAAAGTATCCAAAATTTAATCACAGAGACTAAACTGGCTTGGTCACCTAGAAAGAATGCCAGATGATCGAGCTGTAAAAGTATTCCAGAGATGGAAGCCCCAAGGAAACAGAACAAGAGGAAGGCCCCGTAAAAGATGGATAGACGATGTAGAGAGGGATCTTGAAACCATGAACATCAGGCAGTGGCGAAGGAAAGTATCCGACAGGGCAGAATGGAAGAACATTGTTAATCAGGCCAAGAAGCACAAAGGGTTGTAGCGCTATTAGAAGAAGAAGAAGAAGAGGTTGGGTATCCAAAAAAAATATGGACTAACTTTTAGTAGATGGGAGGAATGTATGAACATATTAGATACTAAAATTGAAACCTGTATCTTCTGAAGATCTGACATGTGTAGCCTGAAACCCTTACATTTACAAGATTTAACATTATGCGCATTCTAAAATTTTTTTTTTAAATGTGTTGTGTCTAGAAAATGTAGCAATTACTCATATTATTACAGGAGATAAAGGTTTAAAGTTACACCACTTCTATTAGGCTCACGGAAGAAATTAATTAAACCATATTCTAAAAGGTTCAATTCCCATGTGCCTCAAGCGAAAGGTTTATAACCAATGTGTTTTGCCTGTACAAACTTATGGAGCAGAGTGTTTAACACTCACGCAAAAATCTGCGAATAAACTCAGAGTTACACAACGGGCCATGGAACGTTCAATGCAAAACGTGAGCCTTCGAGACTACATAACAAACCAACAAATCATGCAAAGATCAGGAGTTCAAGACATCATCGAAAGAACCACGACGCCTAAGTGGAACTGAGCAGGGCACTTAGCTAGAATATAACCGATGATATAAAATGTGTAGCGGAAAACTGACTACAAGCAGTCCAGTGTAGAGAAAACTGGAAAGAACAGGTTGGTGTCCTTGGCAGTTAGCGCATTTGGTTAGTTTGTCCCTAAGGAGTGTGCACTCCTTGCTAATGTGTGTTTCTTCGTGTTCTTCTTTGAACTTATTCTTTTTTGCTAAGGCCATAGTCGGCAGGAGGTTTGCCTTTTTTGGCAGCTGCGTTTTCGCCGGCACCTATAGCCTTTTGTTCGGCTTGTTTTTTTTTTTCCTTTTTTGTATGTAACGTTTTGGAAATCATCATCTTTGGCTTCCACTTATCGATTTACTTCTGGTTGTTGACTTGTTTTCGGAATCTTCATCTGCTTACTTGTTCCTGGTTTAGGGGATTCGTCTCGTTTTTCCTTGGCTACAGTCTCTGTAGCTGGCTTGTTGTTCTTATTACGTGTTAACAGATCCATGAGCTTCTTATTCAGTGTTTTAGTTTTTGTGTCCTTTTCCTCATCATTTTCTCTGTCGCATTTTGTCGATTAATTTTATCGTACCTTTTAATTTTTTTATTTCTACTGCCATTATCTTCGATTGTGTTTTCTTTGCTCCATTTTTTTGCGGTTTACTTCTTTAAAACTACTGTCTTAGATATTTACTGTAAGTTTTTTTGGTTCCTTTGCATTCAATTTGTCTTTCTTCTTCAATCCGTTTCGTGGTTATTTTTTCTTCATTGTCACTTTTATCACTTTTATCACAGTCAGGCATGCATTTCCTTATTATCAATATCATTATTTGAGGTGCTAGAAACAGTTTTTATGGTACTAAATGAATCTGACCTCTCCCTATCTGATTCATTCTTCATTTTTGGACTATCAACATGTGAGTTTAAATCTATGCTTTGTTATTTTTATTTGTTATATCTGTTTTATTTAAATGGGAACAAGAGAGGCACTGTGCGCAATGACGGTACTATTATAAAAATGCAGGGAATATAATAAAAACGTATTCATATGTTATATAGATTTCCAAAAAGCTTTTGATAGAGTCCAACATGGTAAACTCATACATGCATTGAAACACATACACTTAGATCCCAAGGATATTAATTTAATCAAAATTCTGTACTCCAATCAAACAGCGGTCGTACGGGTGGAAGATAGTGAGACAAACCAGGTGGAAATTCAAAGAGGAGTCAGACAGGGATGTGTGCTGTCGCCACAATTATTTAATGTGTACTCCCAACTAATATTTCAGGAGGCACTATGGGAAAGAACTGAAGGTGTAAAGATTGGAGGGAGCATCATTAATAACATAAGATTTGCAGACGATACCGCAATCATGGCAGAGAATATAGACGATTTACAAACTCTCCTGGAAATCATTAACAGAGAAAGCAAAAAGATGGGACTTACAATGAATATAAATAAAACCAAATACATGGTGATCTCAAAAAACCCTGTTGACAACATACAACTGACATTGGAGGGTAAACCCCTAGAGAGAGTCGACAAATATAAATACCTCGGAGCAATTATAAACTCACAGTTAGATCAAGAGCAGGAGATAAAGGTCAGAAAAGAAATAGCTTGAAATGGCTTTATAAAATACAAGTCAATGTTTACAAATAAGAAATTGAGTATGGCCATCAGATTGAGGTTCGTCGAATGTTATGTTTGGTCGCAACTACTATATGGGGTAGAAGCTTAGACTCTGAAAGCCCAATCTATAAAAAAATTGGAGGCATTCGAAATGTGGCTATATAGACGTATTTTGAAGATTCCTTGGACTGCAAAAGTCTCAAATGAGCAAGTGTTAAGACGAGTTGGACATGGCAGAAAGCTTATGAACACAAAATAAGAAAAACATCGTATCTGGGCCACATACTCTGAAACGATAAATACTCTCTGCTACAAGTCATCATGCAAGGTAAAGTATAGGGAAGAAAAGGCTTGGGAAGATAGAAGAAATCTTGGCTGAGGTATATCAGAGATTGGACTAACCTCAGTATTGAACAGATATTTCACGTTGCAAAAGATCGAGAAGCGTTTAAAGTAGTGATCGCCAACCTTCGTTAGAAGACGGCACAAGAAGTTTTATTTAAAAAAATATCTGCCTTGTTCTATTAATTTTGCATTTTGTTAAACGATGTTCTTATTGCCACAATTAAACAGGTTAGGTTAACATTCCTGGACAGTAAAAACTCTGAGAAAGACATACATAATGGAAAACAGCTATAAGTAACATACTTGTGAAGGATGCCAGGAAGAAGTAGGGCATTGTAATTAGCTATAGTAGTAATACATTTATTTATTTTCTGTTGCATAATAAAATCTTTAAGCAACTAAAGATAACTGATGTCCTATTTTTTTTTTAATTAAATGGTTAGTTAGAATGTTAAGTTTGTCTAATTACATAATTCACCGTTAAGTCTGTGTAGGCTAATATGTTCGTAGCTATTGTAATACACTGTTAGTTTCCAAATCTACGAGGGACACTTAAATAATTTTAAGACAGTAGTCGAGACAAATAAAATTAAATGTTTAGGTTGTCCTTTTTTTCTTTGTATTGTTATATTTCATCTAAAGGTTTTTTTGTTATGTATAAGTTATTTTTTCTTAATGTTTGTCACAACCAGTTCGATTTTATTCTCTTAGTTGTTACTCAAACTGGCTTTTGTTTAGTTTCTCTCCAGATGTCTTTCAGATAATTTTTTATGGGGTATCATATTTTATCTTTAATCAGTGCGTGTTGCCAATACTTACATATGGTGCAGAGACATTGACACTAACCAAGAAAGTAAGAAATAAAATTTGTGTTACCCAAAAAGCCATGGAACGATCGGTGTTAGGCATTTCTCGTAGGGATCGGATCACGAACAAGGAAATAAGACGGAGAACAGGAGTGACAGATGCCATAGAAAGAATTATGACCCTTAAGTGGAACTGGTCGGGGCACATAGCTAGAATGTCGGATAACAGATGGACACAGCGAATAATACAGTGGAGACCGAGACAAGAAGCACATCGAAGTAGAGGTCGTTCACCAACAAGATGGTCTGATGACATAAAACGGATAGACAAAAATTGGATGCAAACAGCACAAAACAGAAATACATGGAAAAGACTGAGGGAGACCTATATCCAGCAGTGGATAGATCCGGGTTAAATGATGATGATGATGATGATCATATTTTACTGGATCAATATAATTTCCAGAAGGAAAGAATCCTAAACTAACTTTGCCGAACAATAATCAAAATAATAAACAGCAACAATATACAAACAACTGCCTATATCATAAAAATAAATGCATTGAAAACAAAATATGGAATCGACAAATAATTTAAAGCTAGTTCAGAACGGGAAAACATATTTCAGTAAAACCTGCACCCTCATCACTAACTTCATTCGCAAGTCGGAGGAGACGTGCAACTGGACAATAAAAAACAAAGTTAGTGCTGTGATATGGACCATCAAACAAGCAAGTACTACTAGTAACCCTATTAAGTATTTTATAAGGAGAAGAGCTCAAGCACAGTAGGGCAACAAACGTGGCCAAATAATAGTTGAAAAAGAAATAATGCATCCTAAATTGCATTAGGACAACTTTATAACAAAGGTCTCTTCAATTTGTATGCTATAAACCATGTAAATGTATGCTGAACTTTTTCAATGACAATCACATGGATAGGGTAGATCGGAGGCATTACTTTAGAAGCGTACTGTAAAGTTAACTAACCAAGGCATTTTACGATATCTTTGTCGAACTAATGATAGATTTCTTGAATTATGCAAAACGAAACCAAGCATTTCAAGAGCTTTACTAGTAATTGAATCATAATGGCAATTAAAAGACACTTGTGAATCAAAGAAAAGACCAATCACATTTATTGTCTTTAGTGATATATTGCAAAGCTACGAAATAAAGATTCTTAGTTTAGACCAAGTCAAAGTCCAACCAGAAGAATCAAAAACTTATAGGATAATATATAAAGCCGTAACAGACAAGAAAAAACAATTTCATACATATAAGGTGAAAAATGGGAAAGGAATAGGGAAAGTTTGGAATATCAAATACGACAAAACACAAAATCCACTGCCCATGTTTTATGTTGATCTTAAACCAGCACCAAACAACAAAACCATATATGATCTAAACTAGCTTCTACTTCACCACAAGTTAAAATTTAATTTAATTTAAACCACCGCGCCAGAGAGGGGAGACATTCCACAAGGCACTAGATGCCAAAGATAAGAATTGCAATCACAGGCCACGCTGCGTCAAGTGCACCGGAGACCACACGATAGACAAATGCCAAAGAAAAGAAAGTTCAACTAAGGTTTTTGAACTCCTAAGTGGAACATAGAGCTTCAGTGAAAACGCGCCATCGGGTTCTATTTTGCGCTAAGGCCTTCACCTTATTTCAAGACTTTCCTTGGCCTCTTATCTCGTCCATGATGGATCTTCTCCAAGTTTGTACTGGGCGACCTCTTTTTCTTTTCCCTTGGGGATTCCACTCTAGGGCAGTTTTTGCGATACTGGAACTATTTTTTCAGAGTGTGTGACCGATCCAACCCCACTTTCTGGACGCAGGTGTAGCAGATCTTCGTTTCTGATGGTGTTAGTCCAAAATATACGGACAATTCTTCGTAGACATTCGTTAACAAAGACCTGCAGTTTGTCTGTGAGGGTGTTTGTCACTTTCCAGGTTTCACATCCGTAGAGTAGAACATACATGACATTTGATCGGAATATTCGGATCTTTGTCCTTGTAGTATACGAATATCGTCTTCTGTACCTCCGTTTTCGGTTATGATACTTCCAAGATACGTAAAGTTTTCCACATTTTCAATCTGCATATTGTCGATAGTAAATTGTTCCTTGCATTTATTCTCATGGACTTGGTTTTACTAATATTGATTTTCAAACCTATTTTATTGGCTTCAGTGGGAAGTGTTTCCAATTGGTAAGCCAGATCTTGGAACCTCTGACCTAATAGTCAGATATCGTCCGCGTATTCTAGATCGCTTAGGTGTGTGGTTAACGTCCATTATATCCCTCTTGTGTCGGAGTCTAGTTTGAAGAGAACATAGTCTATAGCTATAGAAATTATTTTTTGCGGGATGTTTCTTAGCTCTAAAATTTTCCATACAGCAGCATGAGATAAGCTGTCAAAGGCACGTTCGAATTCAACAAAAACCATGTATAGGGGTGTGTTTCATTCAACCGATTGTTCCATTATTACACTAACAGTATTAATGTGGTTTATGCAGGAGGATTCTGGTCTAAAGCCTGCTTGATTAGCTCGAAACTCAACCTTGTTTGTTAATCTTTTCAGTATGATGGTCGTGAATTTTTTTTGCAAAGCAAAGGTAGATTTAACTTGCAAAGCAAATTAAATCTACCAATATTATGTTCGAACTGAAACAAATGATAAAAGTGTGATTGAAGTACTGTGATTACTACACTGTCCAAACGGTCAAACCACTAAAGACTATTTGCAAGCCGAAGTCAATGTTAATATGTGTATGCAAGATAACAATTTTAAAAATATATCCACGGGTGAACCTACCTACTGGCCTACCGACAAAAACAAAATACCACACCTGGTAGATTTTGGTGTCACCATGGGTTTACCAAACAACCACTTGAGGGCTTCTTCTTGTTATGATATATCTTCTGATCATTATCACTCTTTTAATAGAAGAAATTCTTTACAAAGAAATTGGAAATTCTTTACAGAACACCATCTTCTACATTAACTAACAAATCCCCAAACTGAAAAAAATCAGATAGTTAT